TTTAGACACTTTTTTTAATTAAGTAGGTCAGAAAAACAAAACCAGCCATTAGATTAGTGCTATAATTTACTTGCTTCAAAATGTGCCATGTTTGAGAGCTGCTCTGTTGACATGCTTACAACACTATAAACTGAGAAATAGATATATTAGGGTCAGATGATAGCACTTTTGCCTAGACTGCTGTGTCCCAAACATACAGTTGGCAAGTACTGCTCGACTGCAGATGGTGAGTGTCTCTTTGTCACTAGAATGGTGTTCCCTGCCATTTCCAAATTAGCTGAGCTACAAATATGATTTGCAATTGCAAACTGAAGCAAGGTAGCCAAAAGAATGAATCGTCTTATTTATGTCTCCCCAGTGTCTATGCTGGAAAGGCAGAGAAATTAGGAGAAATTAGATTTCCACCTTATCTTCTTAGTACCCTATCACAGAAGAGGTCAACCTCTTCTCTAACCAGAACACTGATTCAAAACCTTTAGGTCAAATTCAGCTTTTCTAATTGGAAGAAAAAATGAATCTATTTACTTCAAAGATTTTGATTCAGTAAGAATAGGGATCTTTAAATCTTAGGGCATCCTCAGGTGGCTTCTCAGAGTTTACAGCAATGCAGGTTGAGCCCAATCTAAGCTAGGCAGGTGCAACTCACCTGAAGCCAGCAAGTTCCATCAAAGGTGTCTCAAAATATGGTTTTTAATGTAAGAAAATTTCCAGCCACCACTTACGCCATCACAAAACATATCCTGCTCATGCTGCAGTGCCACCAGCATGAAACCAAGTGGGCATCCAGCCAGGGTTTGCAGACACCAGCACTGGCAAGACTGAAATAGTGTCTAAATTCAAAATTTGCTCTTTGTCTCAGACTTACACACAAAAGTCTCACAAAAACAACACAGAAAATATTATAAATAGAAAACAGAATAAAATTTGGTGGATCAAAACCCCAAATGAATGTAGTTTTGTTAAGCCACAAAAAATACAGAGCTCAAGAGAGACTGAGGAAACTGCCCCTGCCAAAATGTTTCAGCTTCAACAGGGAGAACAATTTCTGGAAGAAGATTCTGCTTCTATAATTATCTGATTCTTTGCCTCACTAAGATCACCAGTTTATTGCATTGGACCAATAAAGGCTTCTTAGGTGCCAATAATGTTCAAGAGATTCCATCTTAGCCCAGCACTCAGGTGCCAGAGCACTCTCAACCTACTACCAAACCCCTAAGCTTTTCAATTTCTCTGAAAGGCGGGGCTGCACCAATATCAGAGAGGAAATTGTTCCAGCAACATTATTCAGCTTGAAACCCCTACTCGAGTGTGCAGAGTTTATTTGACCCAATGGGCCAGATTGAGCTGTGATTGCCTTACCTCCTCGCCAACTGCAACAGAATTGCACAAGCGTGAGCGGAGTCTGGTCCAACAACAAGTAATCTGCCATATGGAAGCTACTGAGCAGACATCTGCAGGACATTGAAAGTGCTTTTCTATATACAGCACAGAGTGCTACAGTTGTGCATTCCACAGAGACCCAGTTTGCAAAGGGATAGAAATGAAACATTACTTAGGGTTTTGGTTTCTTGGCCTTGAAAACTGAAATCTGAAAAGAATTATAGCCCAGTGCCATACCAAATCAGTTATGCAGTCATTCCTGGATTTTCCCATGGAATTTTTACATAAGAATTAGGCTGTATTTGATGCAAACTAATACACACAAAGAACCGTGCTGGTCAGAGGCAAGCCAGCTTATAGATGAGTTTCAGAAGTTTTTGAAAATGCACGTAAAAATCAATTATAGTGAAACACACTGCTAAGGATTACTAGAAATTTGATGACAGCTGACTCATTAAAAGCCATCATGCCTTACATCTTGTCCCTGAGAAGGTTTGCAGTACTCTCCCATTCAGACAGTTCTTATCTTCTCTATCAGTGCCTCCCCACCTTGCACACTCTGTCCCACAAACTGGGAAACTGGAAATACCCTGTTCATCTCCATTTGGACACCTTTGGCTTGAGACATTGCTGGGGGATGGAAAAAGCTCTGTGCTTTCTCAAGAAATGGGCAACCTTTGATGGGAGGTTGGCTGCTGTCCAGGAACACACAACGAAGAGACTCCCTGCAGCTTTCTCAGCTCTTTGTGTACCCATGCAGCAGCTGGGCACAATCTGCCCTCACAATGGTGTGTCTGTAACAACACAACCAAATCCAGTCCTAGCATGGAAGAGAAGCACCATCCAACCGGAGGTCAAGTTTTGAATTATAATCGTGTCCCTCCAGACTCCAGATATCTGAATCAGCTGCTTCCCCCTCCACTCAGAGCACTGTAGCTAATGCTCCTTTATCCCACTAAAAGTCCAGTTGCCTTGAAAGGAGGCAATTCTTTCAGAAAAGCAAAACTTTTGCCCATGAAAAAGAATGAAGATGATAGCATATTAATCAGGAAGAAGAGTCAGTCTTTGTTGCTTTGCCTTCATTGCAGGGGACCTGGTGCAAACTTTTAGTGAGCATGACCGTGCAAGAGTAGGTCTCTAATTATTTTCTTGTACCCTATTAAAGCATTGAATTCAGTTCTCTAGTCCAGTCACAAGCACCAAAAGCACTGCAAGACTCAGAGTTAGTGATTAGTGTTATCACTGACCTGCAGAGGAATCCTGGGGGGAGCCTCATCCAATTCTGAGATGTGGACACAAAGGCTTTCAGCACAGAATGACTGCAGTGGCCTGGCTGAAAAAAGAAAGATGCTTTCCTTGAGTTTGAACCCATTTTGAGCCTTTTATGCTTAACTCAAAGCTTTTCTTTCATTGAGCCTAGTGTTGTCATAATTTTCACTGCATTAATCTCTAGAGTTCAAATCCCTCTTTTTAACTTGACACTTTGGATGTGAGATGACAAGTGTTAATATTCATTATTCTGCTGAGCTATAAATATCCTGAGGTATAGCAACTTACTGGAAAGGACACAACTGAAATTATTTCCTCAGCCCCATGCTTACAGATGTTCGGATCTTAATTACAGATAAGATCTTTCACATACTGAAATGTGCTTGTTGCACTTTTTTGGCACTAGAGTTCACTTCAGCACTTTTATTTTAGTGACTACTTGTAAAGTTAAAATAGTCAGACGTTCCTGTTCACAGTAGGTGACTTGCACATGTATATTTGTGTTCAGTCTACACACCATTCTCCTGTTGCAGTACATAAAGAAAAGCAATCATTCCAAAAGCTATTGGAGTTTCCCTACTGAATTTTTCTTACAGATTATTCTTCTAGCAAGATCTTACTTGCAATATGTTTTCCCATCGGAGGTGTGCCAGATTTTTGGGGCAACGCTGAACAAAGGTCTCACCACCTTTGTAACACTAAACAGCATTTAGTCTCTTTCATAAACTTGATAGCCTGTAAATCTGAGATGTTCCACACCCTCTGCATTCCTATGTCGCATACTAAGAGCCTCTTCTTTAATTACAAGGTGTGGCATATCTGGACAAGAGACAGCTAATCCTCCAGATGTGCGTGTGTGTTATTTACATTCACCCTAGAATTTCTCCTGCATACAAAGCTTTGGCTCTGAGTCGCAAATGTTAGAGCACACCAACAAAATCTCTAGCTTATGGCCATGTTTCATATCATTTAATATTCTGGTTCACTAATAATTAAGTGGAAGTGCTCTGAGCACAGTAGATTGAGATCTAAATGTTGGGAGGTATGGAGATCTAGGAGTTTGGTTCATGCTGGTGACTACTAACAAAACTTCAGCTGTCTGCAAACCTAAAACTTCAACCCAAGTTGCATGAGCATCACAGGACCCAGCCCTGCACAGCAGCAGAGCTAAACATGACTGTGACTGTCGTCAGTGGCTGAAGCACACCACATCCATCACCACCGCCCAGTGCAGGGGAGGACAGACACTCCCCTGGACCCATGCCTGCCATGCTCGCCAGGCCATTTCCTCACCCCTGTCCAAGTCTGTCACCCTCTGTGCTTCCCACATCCCACAGCTTCAGGAAATCCAAAAAGCCTCAGCCACACATGCCTCCTCCCCTCCTTTCACTTGAAATATTCCTCTTGTTCGAGTGCTTCACTCCTGAGAAACGCCCTTTCAGCACCACCCTTTCATGGGCCACCACTGTGTGGACAACCTTTGGCCGCAGGGACCATTGGGGGCTATGGGTGGTAGGCAGTGTCTTCTAAAGGAAGCCACTGTGGGACAGGCTCCCCACCACAGACCTGCCCTTACACAGAGGACTCCCCTCTGTAACTGAGTGATTGTTCACCATCCAGCAAAGAGAATTTCCAGAGAAAGAAAATCCAGGTAATTCTGGACTCCACATAAGAAGCAGCAGCACCTCTGCCTGTTTTCACATATTGCCTTAGGCAGACAGCTAGGATCTACAACTCGGTCCTTCTTTCTGGCCCAGCCCCTCCGAAAGGGCCTTCTGGCTGGAATTCACTGCACAGTGTCTGTGGTGAGGTGGTAGCAGTGAGGCTGGCTGCACTGACCCTGAAGGAGAGGCCAGAGGAGCTCCATGCCAGGCACAGCCACCTCCAATGGCCCCACCAGAGGGCACAATGTCAAGATAGCAGCACCTTGAGGAATAAGTATTCAATAAATGGTAAAGCTCTATAGAGGCAGAGAAGAAAAGTGTGAGAACCAGCCCTGCGGACCTCACAGTCAGGAAAGAGTGATGGGAGGAGATGCTCCAGGTACTAGAAGAGGCATTCCCCTGCAGCCTATGGAGAGGACCATTCCGGAGCAGTTCATGACAGATTGCAGCCCATGCAAAAGACCCCCGCAGGGTAACAGTGGGAGGAAGAAGGAGCAGCAGGGACAAATTGCTACGGACTGATCACAACCCCTATTGCCACCCTCCTAGAGCTGCTCAGGGAGGGGACAGTGAGAGAGGTGGGAATGAAGTTGAGCCTAAGAGCTGAGCTGAAGAGAAAGGAAGGAAACATGCTGTTTTAATTGTTCTCTTTTTTCACTATCCAAATATATTTTGATAGGCAATACATTAAATTAATTTTCCTCAAGTCAAGATAGATTTGCCAGTGCCAGTAACTGGCAAGCAATCTCCCTCTCTATCTTGACATACAAGCTTTTTTGCATCTTATGTTTCCCTCTGAGTCTGGGTGGGCACCTGGCAGCCAGCTGAGGTCAGCTCACCATAGTCACATGCTGGAGCAGCCATAGAAAAGAGAGGGGGCAAAAAGAAGAGTTATCCTGGCACTGCGGTCCAAGCCTGGAGCTCATGATGCTTTCCCTTATGAACTGAGCCATTATCTGAGGATTGCTCTGTACACAGAGCCCCGTTTCAACACAAGTACATCATGAGGTTGAGTTTGTGGGTTGGGAAAGTTATTTGCAAGGACAAGGCTACCCGTGCCTACCGCCCAGAGATAGTGTTCTTAAGTAGGACAGAATCTTTTCTGTAGCAGTCCAGGGAAAGTTCACTGAAAGGAGGGATCCTGCATGAAAGAAATGAGAAAAGGCACAGATCAGAAATTAGCAGCTTAACTGAAAGACTACGAAAAGCCCCTCTTCAGGGTTGCTAGGAACATTAGTACAAAATGCTGGCGTGGGTTTTAGCTCACATCCTTAGCTAACCAGTGCACACGGTGTTGGCAGATGCAGCACTACCATGCTGACACGCTGCCCTTTCTGTCGCAGGCTGCCTTACCCTGACTTCCCATTACACTGCCCAAGAGTGCCAGGCAAGCACATAACCAGCCCCCGCTTCAACACCTGAACCCAGCAGAAAATTTATTACTGCAAAAAGAAGAAATGCAAAAAAGAGATCATCTCTGGACGTAGCCCAGACAAAACGTAACTTGCCATAACATAGCCGTGAAAGGCACTGCTAGCAAAACACCCTGGCATGTTACAGCATCCTCCCAGCTTGTACAAAAGCTGCTTTCTTGCTGATCTCAGTTTATTCTATTTCCAGGCATAACTGAAGTGTGTTTTGTTTTTCTTTATGGGTCACCTGGCCTCCCAGTAGGTGTTCTGGGCCACCGTTAACGCTGGGTAAGACAAAGCTCTTAAACTGTTTTCTCCTTTATGCAGAGCTTTTTCCTCTCACCTTTTATTAGCTGATCTGCAGCAGCTGCAGATAGATGTACAGATCCTTTCCTGAAGCAGTCCCCAAACAAACAATGGCTTCTTCTTTCTCCCAGAGCTACCCACAACAAGCCAGGGGCTGCAGAAGGCAGACAGTATCACCAGCATTGCCCCAGCCTCTCCTTGGTATCCCAAAAGCAACACTGGGTGGGAAAATGAACTTGTACACAAAATTCACTTGCCAAACTCAATCGTGAAGTTTCTGGGTGGAAAAAAAAAGCAGGCTCAGAATGATGGTCTTTGTAGACAAAACTGCTTCCTTCCAGTTTCTCCAGCTTCACCTGCTTCCCATGGTATTGACGCAGCAAAAAATCCCATAAGAAGCTCATCTATTCATACTCAGGAACTGCTTTTGTTACTAATGTGCATAATCTGGACGAAAAAGTCATCAAAACCTTCGAGCATTCCTGAATCTGTATCCTGTCGTATTCATTGTAGAAAGCATAGGAAAAAAGAATCAAGTTTGATGCAAAAACTTGACTTATTTTATCCATGCATGTAGGGAGTATGGAATAATAAGTCTGCAAGGGAAGTCAGTCACCCAATTCATCTGGACCATCTGGCTCATGAAGCAAGAAAAAAGGAACTGTTAATAAAGACGTTCAGAAAGATGTGCTTCAAGTAAGGACTCTGCTTCTGTGGAACAAGGACTGATTCTTAGGTATGGAAAAGCACCACTGGGGAGAAGGTTGGCTTAAGGGGAACCAAAGGAAGCATGATGTGAAATTGGAGGTGAAATGAAGGATAGAAATGGAAAAATCTGAGAAACTACCTGTCTGTAAATGGAGTCAGAGGAGAGAAAGACAGCAAATTTCATGGAAATGTTAATTTGTGTTCCAGTTACAGCACATTTTTCCCCCTCCTGCTGTCACCACATTCTCCGGTTTGCATACAACATCCAGCAACGAGCTCTTGATGAGGGAGAAAGCACCTGTGCTATTTGCTCAACTTTGCACCTGCTCCACAAGTGAAGAAGATCAACAGGCCACAGTTCATCACTTGGGAGCCCATCAGCCCCAAATCTTGATGTTATTCTGCGACTATTCTTCAAGTTTACAACCAGCAGGGTGATGTAGAAGTAACTGCAGAAGTAATTGCTATGCAAGCCTACAATAGTGCCGGAGGGTTGCTAACAGACCTGCTGTAATCATCATTTACAGTGTCAGAAGCAAATTTCTGGATCACAGCTGCTTGTGCTACCTCAATGCTTTGCAGCTGACAAACTGGAGGAAGCACTTCTGAAGCTCCAAGAAGGTGGCTGTATCATGCAGACAGTCTGGACTCCCTTCTGGCCACCTCCGTCCCCATCACACCTGAATCCCATCCTTGGTGCTTGTATAGAAAACAGGGATGATAGGGGAGGGTGTCTGAAGAGAAACAGCATAGGGAAAAATAGCCACCATTCATAATCTCCCATTCAAGATACCCAGTGCTATTTCTAATCACTGATCACTGCCCTAGAGAAAAAGCAAAACAAAAAAGCTCTGATGCACTATCTCTATCTCTTGGCAGAAGCTTCTACAGCAGCACAAGTCAGAAACAAATGAGCTGTCTTTCAGCCTGCCCACTGCAGAGATACAAAAGTTGGACCTGGATTCAAACCTCTGCCTGCAAAATCATGGCTCCAAGCCTACTGCTGGCTTAACTTTGGATTAAAACTCCTAGACTTGTCCTTTTCTAAATAAAAAAATCCACTAGTTAGAGACTTAACAAATGGTTTGAACCAGGATTTCACAATGAATATGTGATGATTAACTGCAGGATCATAAAGATTAAAGGTGGGAAAGAGCTATGAGATCATTGCAGCCCAGTGGCAGCTGCAGGATTGTTCTCCACAGTGTTTCTCCCTGCACCTTGTCCAGGCTAGTTGGAAGTGGCTCAAGCAAAGGCTCTCCCAGCTTCTTCCTGGAGGCTGTTCCACACTTAAGCAGATCTTGCTGATATTTACTTGATATTTAATTTCATCTGGCTCCACTCTATAGCCAAGAGTCATCTTAAATAGCCCTTTCTATCCCCACGGCTGTCTTCATGTTGCTCACATCTATTTTTCTGTTTTCTTTCATTTCCTGCAAGCAAGATCAGCAGAGAATAAATAGCACATTTCCCATGTATGCCATACCCTTTCCAACCTCCACAAAACCAGCCAAGCCTTTCTCTGGACATGCAACATTGACAGTTGTTGCTTTGACACGCCATGTCATCTCCTGCTCCCCCTTTTGGCTCTCTATGAGGCATCAGAGTGACAGAGAGCAGGACCCATCAATTAATGAGATGTAACGACACAAGAGAGGTTTGCTAAAGGTAATTGTCTGTGACAGCTTAGCATGACAGGAGATAGATGCACAGTTGACACAAGGCCCCAGGATGGCTCCAGGTCAGCTCCTGCTCTGAGCTGGGTCCGTAGGTTTTCTTCCTCTTAACAGAACTGCAGCATGGTTTTTGGCACCACGCGCTTCCCCAGTGCCGGTAAGAGGCTGCCTGATCCAACCATATTGCACAGAACAGCACGCTGCAACCAAATCCACAGGCTGAGGCCAGGAAAAATAAGTTTCTTTTTTCAAGTCACGTTAATGGAATATTTTATGCTGGACCAGGATCAGACATTGTAAGGTAGACATTGTCTAATACACTGAAGGATGCGGAATGAACACATGCCAAAGCGAGCAGCCCTAATGACCCTTGCTTTAGAGAGCCCAGAGACAAGACAGAACACAGCCAGGACTCCAGGAAGCAACCCAACAAATGCATGCACATGTGCATGTCCTCCAACGAGCTCACTCAGCCTCTCAGCACACCAGGCACAGCCTGTACACCCACAGGCAGCTGCCTTCTGAGGCAGTTCAGATTCCCGCTCAGAGAAAACAGTGGCATAGCAGCGATGCGGCTGCACACACAGTTTGCACTCTGAGAGCTATCACAAATGCGAGTGCCTGGCGTTGATCACAGCACTTTTGAATTTTCTAAATTCCCTGCTTACTGAAGAGTGAAATTAGACTCACGCTCACAACTTGTGAAAAGCAGATCGGAGCAGGTAGCAGAGGGGATGATGCACAGAGGATAAAAAGAAGACAATTGTGGTTGCAGAAAAATGTATTCCAGCAACACACATAGCTTTAGCAAAGTTCAGACTGGGAATCTGCATATGGAAATTATTTTTGAAGGTACTCGTATTAACATCTTGAATAGCACTCTTAAGAAATTACAGCAGTTAGGGAGAGGTAAATGAGCTCTGTGAAAACAGAAGCGGCACTAAGTGATTCCCCAAAGCAGGATCAGGCCATGCACCATGGCAGACCTCTTCTATACTCTGGTATTGGCTAGGGAAATTTTGGAGGAGTTTCTCTTCTGCTTCAAAGCAGAAGGTCTGGCAGCAGCTCTTGCCCACTGATGTGTAATTTGAAAGATACAAGTCAAAGCAATGTTGATGCAAAATTGAGATTACTAGTTGAGGCTGTAACTCAGTCGCTACCATTCCACCTCCAGTTTCCCATGTTCCAAGGCACTTCCTATGCAAGAGTGAAATGAGAATGATGGGGTGAGTCCAGAGGAGGGCCACAAAGATGGTCAGAGGGCTGAAACATCTCTCCTGTGAAGAAAAATTGAGGCAACTGAGCTTGTTTAGCTTGGAGAAAAGAAGGCTGCAGGCTTATGGCCTCCCAGTTACTTGAGGAAAGCTTATAAGCAGGGGGAGACCGAATTTTTGCAAGGCCTGAGAACGATCGGACAAGGAGGAATGGTTTTAAACTAAAAGAAGGGAAAATTGGGGTTAGATGTTTGGAAGAAATTCTTTACTCAGAGGGTAGTGAGGTCTTGGCACAGCTACCCAGAAAAGCTGTGGTGCCCCATCCTTGCAGGTGCTCAAGGCTAGGTTGGACAGGGCCCTGGGCAGCCTGACCTGGGGGAAGCAGCCCTGCCTGTGGCTGGGGCTCCATATGCTTTAAGATCTCTTCCAACTCAACCATTCTATGATTCTGTGAAGTAGCAGAGCCTGTTTGCGCATGCAAGTAGCGCAATTTGATGGATGCTGACCATTACATATGGCTGATTCATTATATGGTACATAAAGAGAGGGACAAACCATCCTCTGAAGCCACGGTTGAAACAGGCTCTGGCAATAGACCTGATGGTGCCTTCGCAAAGCCCACAGTAAGCACCACTACAGATGCTAGGAAAGATTTTTCATATGTATGGTGAATTTCATTTGCTACTGACAAAAGAGACTGCCTCAAAACCCCTGTGCTGTGCACTGTGAGGACAGGATTGAAGTGCTGGGGACTGACAGAACCCAGCACTCCCAAACCTGCGGGGAGCTCACCTAAGAGTCTTGCTTTTGCAGCTCTTGCTTTTCAAATTTTCATCAGTGCCCTTGTGTGGTGTTTTATGTTGTCAGGCTACAAAGAGGCATTTTCTGCTGTTAAGAAGAAACAATCTTCTTAAATCAATTTTTTTGTTTTGTTTTGTTTTTTAATGAAATGAATGAATGTAAAGCATTACCTCCACAACACTCCCTGCCACCAAATCCATCAGCACCCTTTGTGCTTCCACGGCAGTATTCTCCTTGTAAAAACAGTTCCACCTTCTCTGCTGCTATGCGAAAGGCTCAAACAAATGTCAGAAACTGACTGGCAGACAGCACAGGCAGCGCGCAGAACCCGGCTGTTAGGGGCTGTCAGGCACACGAAGTAAACAAAAGAACAGACCTGTGCCATTTTTCCTCTCAAAACCTCCTTCAACAGCAACTCTTATTTTAGATACCACTTATGCAGGGAGGTGTAACACAACAGCAATGGGTTTTAAATGTAAAGAGTCTCATTAGTTTTGATAAATGTTTCTCTGATAACCTTATTATTACTATCAAAGGCATAAAACCTAAACAACATTGTGTTTTTAGTAACAGTATGAGTTATAGCTCTGTAAAACTACCACAGCCATTTCAGAAGCACAGAATGTTTCTGCAATGTTGTTTCTGCCCATTCCCTCTCCCGTTCCCTCCAGCAGTCTTTCTGCCCATGCACAACCATGACCAAGCAGCAGGATCTTCTGTGCTCTTCGCTCATTTCCCTACAGCTCTCTCCTTGCTGAGGCTGTGCTGAGTACAAACATCTAGGAGAAGCATATCCAGGTTTTGCAGAAGTAAACAGTGGATGAGAGCATACACAGCTCCCTGCCACAGTGCAGAGCGCCTGCAGGGCTGGCAGAACTGGGATTTGCTCTCACATCCTGCCAGGGACTCTCGATCTGAGGGAGGCAGGAGAGCTGCATTTGCAGGTTAGGCTTTAAATCCCTCTTTCTGACAGCGAGATGCTGCAAGCGCATCTGACAGACATCTGACCCAGGGGAGGATCAGCTTTGAAAAACCTTCCCCGGGATATTTTCGCTTCCTTTTTTCTCTGCATTTCTCCAGCTCCTGGGGAGGGTAACTTTCATCAGCCAAAAACCAAGCAGAAAGGGGAGGAGGAGGGAGAGGTGCGTGGGCAGCGGGGCCGCAGGTGGGCACGGCACAGGCAGGCAGCACAGAGCAGCTCATGAACCCACAGGTTTTGCAAATTCCACAGGCAGAGCAGACAAGCAAGGAGGGAGAGCAGGGCTGCATGCCCAGGAGCATCCAGGCAGGGCTTGTAACAACACCTCACACCATTAAAGTGGGACAAGTCACCAACATGCCCACAAGCGCATCAGGAAGACTTGGCCCTGCATTCCCCAGGGCTGTCCCATTGCCCGGGGAGAACTGCACTCCCCTTGCCATCATGCAGTGACCTAGTCTGGAGGAATGTACCTGAAGCATGGCTGCACCCAAACATTGAGACATTTGGGATTATTCATATTCTTTGCACTTTAAAGCTGTGAAGGGTCTATTTTTTTCATTTAGTGTTTGTCTGGTTCTACCTGGAAATTAGATGTAAGCAACACGCAACTGAATGTGTCAAGGTATCTGAAGGCTCGAAATGCACAATGCAATATTATAATACAGCTCTTTGTTATGCTAATTATGCCTTCCCAGCTGCTCCTGCAATGAGTGCCAGGGCGACCTATCAAATGAGAACAAAACCTCCAGGCAAGCTTGCTGCTGCGTGGTCCCTTACCTCTGAGCCAGAGGGGCTGTGGCTGCCACTGCTCCAGCACCTACAAACAAAGCGGAGGTAGAACAAAACAATTCCATATCTCAGCTTCACTGCCACTGGGAGCACAAACCAGGAATTAAAAAATGATACCCTCCTGACAGTCAGTTTGCCAGGATTTATGCTTTCCCTCAGGCCCCTTTCGCCTCCATATATGTCTTCTCAGCACTTGAGTAAAGGGGAAAGAGTAAGAAGGCTCCCAGGCAAACCCTGTGGGCTCGGTCAAGATTCTTATTTTGGTACCCACTGGGATTTTCTTTGTGTGGGTGTCTTATTGATGACAGCCTGAAAATGTCATAGTTGTATTATCTAAATTAAAATTAAGTTTACAAATGGTATTAGAAAAGTAAGGTTCATATATCTAAATTCAAAAGAACAATTCGATTGCCTATCATTTATGTTGATATTCAGCTAAAAGAGATCTGTCTTGTCCTGTGTTACTAGAGGCTCAGAAGATATTTTATTGGTAGCACATTGGTAACACAGAGGAAAGGAGTTTTAGCAGCCAGAGGGGGACTGCCAGCAGCTCCAAAGACCCCTGGGAACACAGGGCAAGTTCATTAGATAGATGTCTGTTTTGCAACGGTCACTAGTGAAATACTTCAGAAGCTGATATTACACCATCATCCTTAAGCCTCAGAATTAGCAAAAGAGGTGCTTTCAAGGAGTGGGTAAATTCATATGACAAAAAATGCTCACCTCAGCCTGCACGTGGAACGAGGAAAATGATCTGACAGGAGCTTATGCCCTACTTGCAGTTGAAGATTTTCCTCGTGACTGATGACTGTAGAGGCTATTTTGAGGTTTATCTGCTGGAGCAATTCTACAATGGAGGCACACTTCACAATTGCACTGACATTGCACATCTTACTTCTCAGAGCAAACACAAAATGAAATTTGCCACCATTACACTAATTACTCTCCTGGTAAACCAAAATCCAAGCTGTCAAGTAGAGAAAGGGGTTGAAGAAGGAACAAAGCACATTCAGCCTCCAAAGACTAAAAAATTATTCAAAACATATTTTCAGGATAATTATTACAGAAATTCAGAAATGTAGGTCAGCTTGGTCATACTTGTTGAGACACGCAGAAGAGAGATTTGGGGAAGACACGCTGAAAGTACATCACACTTAAATGGTAGCAACAAAATACGAGCACACTATCGATTTCTAATGGAAAGGCCAACTGTGTTTCAGGCCAAAACCATGCAACCTCACTCAGCCATATGGCTGAGAGGATGTGGCTGGTACACGGGGCCTGGCCACACAGTGAGTATAGGAGATTCTGTCCCAAGAATAGATGGAAGCAAAGAAATTTACTAGGATTTTCAGTGTTGACAGAAGAGAGAAAACTCTGCATTAGGAACACGAGGGGACGAGCAAAGGGTGGAAGCACCATTGAGAAGTGCCGTCATGCTTTACAGATAAGCAGAGCCCTGGTGGCTGTAGGCCAGGCTCTTAGGGAGCCCTGCCATCCCGTCACCTCCTCCACAACTGCCTGAGCCTTCAGTTCTTTCAGGAGGCAGACAGCCCACAGTGTGGAACGATGAGCCTGGCAGACCGTGCCAGAGGGAAAACACTGTAAGAGGTAGGAGCGAGAGGAGTGACCTTGATGAGACAGGCCATTTATCTTACTTCTGCAGTCCTGGCATGACAGATTGGATGCTCCCTGCAGTAAATTGGACAATGATGTTGTACTAATTGAGAGGAATTGCTAGCCTTAGAAAATAAGTTGTTTTTCAAATTCAGCATCTCACTGCTTTGTGATTTAGTTGAGGTTTTCTTTTTTGCTTTGTTTCTGCTGAATACACCTGCTTCTGAGCACACACAGACCACGCTTGTGACTTCTCTTTGTGCCCCTGTGTTCCTCAGAAGGGGAACTCAAGCACAGACATTAAAAGAAGTTAAAGTACTTTCTTACCTGCCCTTCCAGCCGTATTTGATGAGAAAACTTCACACACTTTGCAGCCTGCACCGCTTTTGCAAAGCAGAGGAGCTGAAATTCCACCTTCCCCAAGGCTGGGCCTACTTCCTCCACCTGACTAAAAGGGTAGGGAGGGCAGCCATAGGCCAGCTACAGCCCCAGGTGCGGCCATTTTTGCATGATTACAGCCCTGGTGTTTAATCCAGACTTCTGCACCTGACCACAGCTCCCTGTTGCAAAGCCTAGTGCGGAGTTCAATCTGGTCTCCCAGTCAGAGCTGCTCTGTGCTTTCTGTGGAGGAGAGAAGGCCTCATATTAAGGCCCTCAGCCCCAGGGCTGATTGGTGTTGGTTTCCCCACGCAGACCTGGCCCTCCACTGTAGCTCACGTGGTTGGCCCTCAGCTGAGCAGGATTAGCTGCTGTGAAGGCACCAGGCACCCTGCCACAGCCGTGTTTACACTACAGCAAATGGACCTCACAGAGACAGTTTGCAAACACCACAAGACGAACTTTTGTAAACTCCCTCGGTTTAGTCATCTTTCCCCATCTGTTAGAGAAGTTAAAGTGAGATTGAAAAAACACAGGAAATCACTGTGTATTCCAGGCGGCTGCGGCAGAGCGGCTTGGCTGTGACATGGGATGCCTCTCTTCCATCTCCACTGGGATCCTCTCTGGCATGTCCTGGATGAGCTCTCCAGCCAAGATGAGCCCCAGGGGTGCCTCACACAGCTGGGAAAAAGCTGGACCATTGCTGAGAGCCCTGAGCATCTCCCTGAGGTGAGGGCAGCCCCCGCCTCTCAGGCTGCAGAGCAAGGGACATGCAGGGACGAAGGCCAGGTGTCTCTGAGTCACGTTCGCTGAATAAAACTCCACGTGAAATCCTTTTCCCTGGCAATACAGTGCAATCCTTGCACCATTTTTTTGTTTTGTTTTCCGTGTATTATGGAAGTACCGATGGAAGCAGGAATTAGCCTGCTGAACAGCAGGAACAAAGTGTCTTAGGCAGGGAGTGAAATGATCACCCTGGAGATAAGTTCTTGTCAAAGAGCTCTTCAGGCAGACAGACCGGTACCAAGCTCAGGATGATTCACTAATAGTAGTTATGCACAGAATATATGGATGAAAGGCTTCACATCAGCCTAGAAAAGAACAATTTCTTGTAAATCTGTGACAGTAACAGTTCCCAGTATTGGAGCACGCAATGGGAAAAAGGCCTATCTAATCTGGTTTGCACACTCCATGTGCCATAAATCGAAACAAAACTGAGCTACAAAATCCCTACTAGCCCAAGAAAGCCTGTCAAGAGCTGTTGCATTTCTGGCACTTGAACAGGGGTGTTTCCAATTCCCTTTACTAACACAAGATACCTCTGACTCTTCTGAAGGAAATAGGGTAACTTAATGTGCTGAGTGCAATGCAGCACATTCAATATTTTTGTGAGGCAGGCTTTGGAAAAGACAGAAAGATCACCTAACTTTAGGCTGACCTTCTGAAATGAGATATTTCACCCCTTACAGAGCTTGATGACACTCAGCAGGACTGCCCAGAGATATGATGGATTCATTTCTACGTGAGCCTGGAACTGAAGGAGCTATTACAGTGGTCAGTTCATGTCACTTCAGCTGGTGCAAATTCAACCCAAAAACTGCCATACCTTGTATGTGCAGGCTTGCTCTTGAAGATCAAGCTGCTCTTCCAGTCAAAAAGCTTTCAGCCCTCCGCAAACTGTTAGCCAATTTCTGCCTTGGGCTGTGTTTGGCTAAACACAGAGCAGCCTATTGCTTCCTGGTGCACCTTCAGCCTGTCCTAAAGGTCTCTGAGACCTGGTGATGCTGAGCTCCATCCTGGCCTCCACTACAGGAGTGGGTGTCAACCACAGTGTAACCTCTTCAGCACTGGAGCGGTGCTCCAAATGGATTAATGGGATTTCCTTGGGCAAGGGAGGGGAGCACAGGGAAAGGATCCAGTAGCCATTGGAGATGTAAAATTAAAATGAATTTTGGTCATTTTAATAAATATATATCAAGGAAATCTCACTTTACTACAACAACACATTAGTATACAAGCATCTAATATTTAAGCTTAAAACATCAAGTGTTTATCAAATATTGGAAAAGAGCAGACATTACTGGACTATCTGGATATAACACAAGAAAAATCAATTTTTTTTAAAAATTGGTCCATGTGGACAAATGTCTAAATGATGATCCTACTCATACACTGTATGAATGAGATCTATATTTAATATTATTATTATTAATAAAAAAGCTTTTGTCTTGGAGAAATCAGGTGAGATTTAGACTCTCATTCTTCACAACGATGACCCTTACAAACTTGTCAGTTCCCATTCACGCAGCCAACACAAAGGTTGTAACAGTGGTAAGACGTCTTCAACGTTTCCCTATGGTCACCTGGCTCGGAAGCAGGGACCATGTTCCCTGTCACCACTGCACTCACTCATGAAAGCTGCCCAGACTGTAAATGTGACAGTGAGGTGTGCATGCTGTCCTAAAAAATCACAGCCCAGAGGTCTCTGCACTGTGGTGGATCTTGCCCTCTGGACATGAACCAAGAAGGGAAGACGCCACTTGGACGCATGATGCTGTGGGAACAGGCAGCTATTATGAGCCCGCCATGGCTTGGATGTGGCTATTTTGCTGAGCACATCCTGCCAGTTGTTAGGGAGACTGTGGGAACTAATTAATTTGGTACATCTAGGACTCACAATGCTCACTCCAATCCTGGTAATGTCTTCTGGGCATTTTCAACAGCACAGTTCTGCAAACAGTCTACCTAGGGATGACTAAATGTTGTCCTTAGCCACAGAAACCTCAGCTCATTTCTCCAAAATGTTCTTTTTTAAAATTAAAAGCCTTACATTCATTCAGATAAAATCATGTTTATCGCCACATTACTAATTAACATTGTGCTTTCTGTTTTCTTTTGTTGACTTTTTTCAAATCAACAGCAAAAGTAATATAAAACTCCCGCATGCTTTTGCAATCTAAAAGAGAGAAATTATGCGAAACAGAATAAAGTATAAAACATGCCACTGGTTCATGAACTTCATTATACGAAGAGGGAAAAAAAAGAGCCCCAGCAACAGACAGTTGCCATAGAAACACTCAAGCATCGAATGCTTGTTTACAAGAGACATCTCTCTATTGTTTCTTAAATCCCTTCCTAAGGATGGCAAATCAAAAAGCAATTGAGCATCAAAAAGGAAGAACAGAGATGTTTGAATAGGAAGTTGAACTCAGTACTTCAAAGGTTAAAGGTTTCTAATAATGTTGATCCACCCTGTGCTTTTTTTTCTTCTGCTTAGGTTAAATCCCTGCTGTATCACTGATTTATACTTAATTTTCACGCTGGCAAAAATTAAGACAAAAAGTAAGGCACCAAAAAAAAAACCTGCCCTGGAGAACAAGCGCCACTAGTTACTACAGCCAAGGTGACAACGCGCAAGTGCTTGAGTTGCATGTTGTGTTTCTGGTTAAGATCTCACAAACAGGTTATTTCCTTATGCTATGTCCCATTTTGTCAGTTGAACAAGACGCTGAATCCAGGAGTTCAGAAGTATCAGTACAACGCGTAAGGACGGTTTATAACTCAGTCCCCGTAGCCAGTCCTTTGTCAGAGCAAACACCGAGTCGGAGGGAGCACATCGCCCTTGCTGGTAGCATCAATTTGTTTACCAGACTTCTAATTCCTTCGTAAACATAATGGAGGTTCTTCTTAATTAATGGCAGACTTCTTGGGGGCGGCGATGTATACAACGATACGTTTTCCCCATCTGGCTGATTGGTATTTTCAGCAACAAAAGCCACACCATAGCTGCACAGACTACAGCGCTAAGTGGCAACACAACTGTGTTCTTTATGAAGTCTCCACACTTATAAATAGCCCGCTGATGCAGATCAGAGCACCGTGCTACGCAATCTGCTCCCCAGTCATTTAGAACTACTCTACTGTTTGTGGCGTGATTGTATCGTTTGTAGAAAACTATAAAAAATCCATTCAAAATAAAAATTTGATAGACAAGCGCACATGCTTCGACGGAGCAAGAAAGATGCCTCATATTTTACTTCCTTTGCTGCAGCACATTTTATTACTTGGTAAAGATTCTTTTTTCCGTAAGGATTTTTTCCAAGATTCGCTTACATCACTCTTGTCATTACACCCAGTCTCAAAATAGTCATAAAATTTGCCTTTACATTCAAAAGCATGAGTGCCTCGTACAGGTTCACAGTTTAGGGGCACGTTGTCTCGTTCAGGTTCTTCGCAGCCCTTCTCGTCAGTGAATTTGGCCTTGTCCTGATTAGCATGAGGCCTGGCATTAGTGACAAATATTTCACTTGCAGGTATCTGCTCGTCACTCCTGTAAGAGGGGGCACTGCCAATGTCATAATCCACCTGCTGAGAACAGCTCGGCAATGAAATGGGGGATGAAGAGGAGGAGGGAGAGGAGGAAGAAGTATTTTCTGTGCTGGCACTGACCGAATAGGGAAGGTTCAAGTAGTGACTGCCGCATTCTTGATAGAAGCAGCATGTGTGGAGCTTCTCATACTCCTCCTTGGCCATCCGAAGACGCTTTCGGTAGGGGCAGTCCTGAGGCACGAACCACTCCTGCGGCGAGGCAGCCCCAAAGGAGCATGCGGAGAAGCACCAGTTGTTCTGCATGATGATTTCTCCATGGATTCGCTTCATTAAATTGTTGATGAGGACGGATCTCCGCAGGTAGACTTCAGGATCGTCAATGAACTTCAGCTTTTCCAAAGACATGTAAAGAATATGGGCTCGTTCCTCAAACACTGAGATTGTCTGAAAATACAAAGGACAGAAGATACAGAACTGAAGTCAACCGGCTTTGCTCCAGGCAAGAGAAAGAAAATGAAGCAGGGTATTCATTCTGTGCCACTGCCTTTCTCCTTCTCCTCCTCAGGCAACTAAAACCAGCTTCCCATGCTGCACACCCATGTGGAACGTGTTTTTTTTCTCAGCATTTGGGGTTAAAACAAAATTGTCATACTGTTTTGCTTTGGTGATGGGGTCTCTTTGATGTGAACGGACCCAGTCCCATCCACTGTGGGGCTCCCACCAAGCCCTGAAGCCAGGCGCAGGTTCTTCCTGCAGCCTCTTTGCAGCAAGGAGAGGCAAAGCTTTGCAGGATGCAGCCAGCAATGAGTGCCAGAACATTTCACCCAGTGCTGGTGGAAGGGGCCCTCGGTGAGGAGGTCTCCATTTGCCAAGCCCTCGCTCGCCGCTCTCACATATAGGAACACACACAGGGAGGCAGGGAGAAACCATCTCAAAGCATCGCAGCATCTGGAGAGCAGCTGTTGGCCCGTGCACGACACGGCGCACTCCATGGGACCGGTGGGAATGCGGGGAGGCAGGGACAAGGTCAGGAAACAAAGAGAGGACGGGGATTTGCAGGGATCCTGGCCAGGAGCCCACAGATCGGTTCCCCCTGCTGCAGTCCCACGGGGGCTCGCTTTCTGAGCACTGGCAGCAGGAGCAGGTTACTGCCCTGGGGGGCCCCTACTCCACACTGCAGTTGCTGCCCCAGGAATCAAAACAGAGAGGGGGTAACACACGCTACTGTATGCAGAATTAACTAATTTTCATTTTTAGTAATAATTTGGTTTGTGTAGGAGGAGAGAAGCACAGCACAAAGACAGGCTGCTCTCTAGGGGGGGCCCCCCCCCCACCCGTGCCTTGCTCATTCTTCCCTTTCCCACATGGTTACAGCATTTTTGCAGAGTGGAAGTCGTAGCTATGAGGACTGAAAGCGCTCAGAGCACAGCTGCTTTTCACATCCATTCAACTCTCCCAGCCCTGCAGCTCTTTCCACAGCCTGGTCCTGTCTGCAGGGCTCAGAAGCAGCAAAGTACCTCGTAAAAGCAAAAATTGGCCCTGCTTCCAAGCAAGCAAGTTTGCAGCTGAAACTCTTCTTTGTTAGACAGTAATTTTCTAAATATTAAGCCTAAAGGTTAATGTGCTATAGTAGAACCACAGAATGGTAGAATCATTGAAGTTGGAAGGGACCCTTAATGGCCATTGAGGTCAACTCCCCTGCACTGAACAGGGACACCTACAGCTCAATCAAATGCTCAGAGCCCCCCCAGCCTGACCTTGAGTGTCTCCAGGAATGGGACATCCACTACTTCTCTGGGCAACAGTCAGTGCCTCACCAGCCTGACTGTAAAAAATTCTTCCCTATGTCTGATCTAAATTTCCCTGCTTTTAGTTTGAAACCACTTCCCCTTGTCCCGTCACAGCAGGCCCTGTTAAAGAGTCTGTCCCCTTCTTTCTTACGACCCTTCTTTAGATACTGAAAGGTCTCCCCAGAGCCTTCTCCAGGCTGAACAATTCCAAATCTCAGCCTGTCCTCATAGGGGTGCTTCCATCCCTTGGATCAGTTTTGTGGCTCTCCTCCAGATGCACTCCAACAGGTCCATGTCCAAGTACTATATACTACCAGAAGGGGACAGGTAACCAACCATTCCTCCTCTTCACCATACAGAACCCAACAACTACCCAAGAACAAAGCTGGTGGAACACAGAGATCGGTGCAACACATGGGAGAGGGCATCTTTTAACACCCTCCATGCTAGGTGCACATCACCCCGGAAGCAGACAAAGTGTTCTGCTCCACCTCCCGGCTGAAGGCTCATTCCCAGCCAGTGCTATCTGTAGCTGGAAATTCCTTCGGCTGCCCTGAGGCATGTGGGAAGCACCACCCATACCTCCTCAGCATGAGGCCCATGAAGGCCCTACACGCTGTCCTGGCAGGCACTGGGCACTGGCAGGACCTGCTCCACTCAGGCTGTCTCTGGGATGCAGCAGAGGTGCTGGAAAAGCTTTAGGCGCATGGCTGCGCTGAGGTACCTTGGGTGCCCCAATGTCTGCACTGTCCCCAAGCACCCCACCCCTGTGCTCAGCTCCTTACCAATACCAGCACAAAACCTCCCACCAAAAAGTCTGATTTCAGTTTAGGTACTCACTGGCCTGGGAAGTGTTTGCTGTAATCCCTCCCTTGATGGCTTTTGTTAAAAAATAAATAAAAAACTCTTTTCCTTACTATTCTGTTCTTTCGGAATCATTGGCTTTTTAACAAACAGGATTAACCATGGAAGGTGCGGCGCTGCCTGCCAAGCCCTCTGCTCATCTGCAGCCCACAGGGAACCTGCTGAGTGTCCTCCCCAGGGGAAGGCGTGGGATGCATAAGGAAGCAGGGCCCTATTTGCTCCGTTTCTCACGACTGGCGTTCCAGCCCTACTTCTGTACGCATGGGTTGAACTACCCAGGAACAAAAGAATCTGGGGAAAAAAGTTAGCTGAGCGTTTAGGCTCAGACGGCTGCCTTCGCTCCCCGGGCAGCGCGATGCCCGCAGCACGGAGCACACAGCGAGTGACGGCCACCTGCCTGCGTGCAGGCTGCAGGCGCGTCCCAGCCCAGTGCGCGGGGTAAAAATAGCGGCTCTTGGGAAACGTACTTTGTGCGCGCAGCTGCTGAGCGGCGGGTGAAAATCCTCTTCTTCCACATATTTCCTTTTAAAGTATGCGATCTTGGATGCCGCTGCAGGATTTGAAATTCCCCTGTAATGCGATCCTGCGGGCAATAAATCAGACACGACAAATGACACGCAGTTTGACGGAGGTTCTCCAAACAAAACACTTTCCGTTTCCCCTCTCGCCGCGGCCGCGCCACGTCTCCCCGCAGCAGCGCCCACCGGACGCGTCGCTCCTCCCGCCCGCCCCGCGGACCTCGCGCATCTCGCGGCCTCTCCCCGCCCTCGGGACGACTCGCAGCCCCGCTCCGGCCCGGCCGCACCTGCGCGGGGCCGCCCCGCTCCCCGCCGCCCGCTGCCCGCCCGGCGGCGCCTACCTGCGGCGGGGGGACCGGCGGCGACCGGAGCGGGGCCGGGGGCGGTGGGGCCGGGGCGGCCGCAGGCGGGCGGCTCCCAGAGGGCGCGGTAGGCGGCGAGGTCGGCGGTTCCCTCGGCGGCGCTGGGGCGGCCCAGCCGCTGCATGGGCAGCACCAGGGTCATGGCGGGCGCCGGTTCCTGCAAGGAAGCAGCGCGGTGAGCGCCCCGGCACCCCTCCTCCTGGCCGCCCCGACCCCGCGGCAGGCACCTACAGGCGGATGTCAGACAGACGCACGCCCCGAGCCCCCTCCCGCCGCTCCCAGCCCCGCTCCACCGCCCCCGCCCGGCCCCGGCGGCGCTCACCCGGCGGCGTGGACCCGCTCAGTCACTGCCCATCCTCCGCCGCTGCGGCTGGCACGGCGCGCCGGCACCGACGGGCGCGGGTTGGGTGCGTGTGTTGTGGCGTGCGGGAGGGCGCGGAGCGGCGAGGATCGCGTTTCTTTCTTCCTTTCTGCCTCCCTCCCTCTCTGCCTCCCTTCCTTCTTCCCTCCCTCCCAACCTCCCTCCCTCCCAGTGGAGAGGAGCACAGACTCCAGCAGTTGTTTCCACTCGCCCCGCTCGGGCCGCGCTGGCTCTGCCTCCAAGGCAAAACACAGGCACCAAATTGGCTGCGGCTCCGCGCCGCCGCTGGCGGCCCCGGGGGGGCGGCCCGGGCGGGGCGGGGCGGGGGCGGCTGCGGAGCGAACTTCGCGCGGGGCCGAGGGCTGAGCGCGGCCGCGGAACAATGAGCCGGGCGCGGCCCTTCCCCTCCTCCTCCTCCTCCTCCTCCTCCTCCTCTTCTTCTTCTTTCTCCTCTCGGCCCCCCGCGGCGGGACGGGGCCGCGCAGGTGGCAGTACCCCGCGGGCGGCTCCAGGAAACGCACCGCGGCGGGAGGGGGGAATGCAGCGACGGCATCTGCCGCGATCGGGCTGTGCCTTGGGCGAAGAACCGCGGACGCGGGGACGGGGAGCCCATGAGCAGCTCCGGTGCGCAGCGTGGGCCTCGCACCCCTCGCACCTTCTGTTCCCGGTGGAGTGCTGGCACGAGGAGCGCTGGCTGACTCCGTTGGCTGAAAGCGGGGCCAAGAGAGCTGCTGAGAGCCGCCGAGCGGCCGCGTGTTTCTTGTTCCAAAGGGTTCTGCTGCCGTTAGAAGCACCCGTGGGCTCCTCTCCTCAGTCTGCGCAAGGAGTTGCCCACAGGGAGCCGTTGAAATCCAGCACTCGCCCTCTAGGAATAAGGGCTGGGGGCAGCTGATCGTTGCACCAGGGAGAGGTCAGGATACCTCCTCTGGATGGGTTCAGCATCCCTTTGTGGGATTGTTTTATGAGAATGAAATCAGAGTCAAGAATTTTGGCTGTGCCTTCTATTACATGTCTCATCGCCAGTGGGTGCTTCTGTGCTTCAAAAGACACACAGGAGGGAAGGAAGGGAGGAAGGAAGTGTTGGGGTGCCCTCTGCACAGCTCTGCTGATTTGTCTTAAAGAAGAGGCTGCTCCGGACAGCCTGGAGAGCAGCCGGGCTGCTTCTGCTGTGCACAGCAGGAACCGAGGCGGGGCAGCCACCTCCCGCTGACAGCTGCCTGCCTGCCCTGTGAATTTGCCACGTGCTCAGATGAAGCAGAAACAAGGCATAAAGAACAGAGCTTCCCGAGGAGGAAAAAATATAAAGCCCAAATCCCAAAGCGAGCTGGTATGCTCTGCATGCTCTGCAAAGCCACTTGGCTACAAAAGGAGCCCCATTTTGTAGCCAAGGAATTGCAGGCGGGCAGAGCAGCAGCCTTCCCCAGGGCTCCATATGTCCACTGGGCTTCCAGAAGTGCCAGTCTCCAGCTGCTTGTGGCCATGTGGGAAGGTCAGAGTGACGCCAGGGTGATGCTGGGCCAGGGGCTGAACTCTCAGCCCCTTCTGAGTGCTTCAGCCAAAGCATGTGGGGATCAGGGCTGCAAGCAGAGCCAGAGCCCATCGTGCCCCCATCAACCCATCCCCTTTGGGTTACGTCATTGTAGGCAATAGAGGGACTCCATCCCAAATCCTATTCAACTCAGTGAGACTGTGCAGAACAGCACACACATTGTTCCATTGCCATTAACACCACTGGAAATAAAGGGTGAAAGATTCACATTGGTGCATACAATGCATTCGCCACACAAAATCACAGTGAAAGGCCAACACTTGGGCCTTTGTCCCATTCTGGAAAGCCATTTGGGTGCCTCACATGGCTGCAGCAGCACAGTGAGCACCCACTGCCACCACCTCTGCTGCCATTCTGACACGCCAAGACATTACAGCAGCCCCAAGGTTGAACTTCACAGTGCACAGCTTCACAAGCACACAACTGCACAGTGGGACTACTCCCAGTCACTGCTCTACTCCACTCGCTGGGGTGTTCCTTTGCAGCCATTGTGATGTTAATGAGAGAGCTGTAATGATGCCATTCACATATAACAAGCCTGATGGGATGGCAGTGAAAAGGGCTTTTTATGCACATCCAGAATGCCTCTAGAAAAAAAAAAGAAACCAACAAATATGAAATGCCTGTTAGGATGATGCTGCTGGTCTGTGACATGAAGGATGGAGAATGGACTTGGGATGACTGCTCTTGTCCTGAGGAGAGAGGACAGATTCTGATTGCAGCAGTGGATGGCAGGCGGATGTTGGGAGTACATGGACAGCGTGCCTTGATGTGCCAGAATTTTGAGGAGGAGGAAGTCACAGAGCTGGCAGATTAAAGGGCCTGGATTAAAATGCTCGTTGTTCATGTGGGTATACGTGGAGTCACAGCAGTGCTGTGAACGAAGCTGTGGGATCAGGGACTCACAGTGTACCACAGCGGCCTAACCACAGTGAGCAGAAGCAGAGAGCCAGAGGCGATCCATGCATCAGGGCTCTGAAAGCAAGGACCAGCACCGTGGTGGGTGGGAAAGCACCTGGAACATCCAGCTCATGGGTCATGCTGGTTTTGAACTGGCAGAACAGCATCTGGGCACCAGCAGAGGTAGTGCTGCTCCTCAACCCCCTGAGGTACAGATGAGATACAGACCAGTGCCAGCCCCAGCATTCTTGCCTGTGCTTTCCAGTCCTCACTCCAGGGCAATTCAAGGAATCCACTGGGTTTTATTTTTTTCTTCAGGGGCAGGACTTACTGCTCTGTTGAAAGGGAATTCACTTGACATCAGGAACAGTGTCAAGATATGGCCTTCCCATGAAAGTGTTTCAAAAGTGTCTTCAATTTCTGCCATCCCAATTTCAAGGATACGAGCCCAGATGCTCTGATGTCTCTTTCTCAATATGGAATTCCAAGCAAATACTTCTCTAACATTCCTAACTCCCACGTTTTTTTCTCTTAATTCTTACAGGTTGAATTCTAGGCAACCTGATCTAGCTGTGGTGTCCCTGTTCATTGCAATGCAGTTGGTCTAGATGGCCTTCAGATGTCCCTTCCAGCTCTATGGATTCTATGATTCTTCCCATAGGAATGTTTCAGAGTTTCTTGACCCCAATTTGTCAAGGTTCCCCAATTTTCTTAGCAAGCATATTGTCAGAGAAAAAAACTGAAAACAAATCATTTGACTTCTTAACAGTTGTTTTTCTTTGTTTCTGATTTCCATGGTGTACTGATAGAAAGAGCTTTCCTTATATGAGGGCTGCTCCAAAAGTAATGCCTTCTATCTTATAATGTTGGCCCACAGTGTCAGAGGCGGATATTGGTGGTGTGGCTGTAGAGGTTGAACCTTCCCCCAAATATTCCATTTGGTCTGCAGAGCACTTCAGCATCCTGGTGGCAAGTGTTGCTCCTGCTGCTGCAATGACAGCCCCTCTGCTGGCTTACCTTTGGGACAACTTGGCTCTGCGCAGGGGCTGGGTGCAGTTATGGTGCCTGGTGGTGGAGAGAAGAGCTGACAGCTTCAGGCTGGGCTGAGGCAGCAGAGCCCAGTGTCATACATGGGGGCTTCCCCAGCCCCAGAGCAGCTTTCCTTCTTTCAGAGAGGTGCCAAGGAAGGCTGCCTCCTGGCTGCACTGCCTTCTGGCATCACAAATTGGGTGTCTGTGGAGTTTAATTGTATCACCTTCTTCACTTTCTGTCCACTGAAGAAGGTAAACAGCACAAACAAGAAGTGCTTGGGAACAAAGAGCAAGCTGTCTGCTACTCAGCCCGCGCTGCTTTCCATGAAGAATGAGTGCTATTATTATTCTTTTACAAGTTTCCTTCTAAGGGAAATAAACACTAAAGGTAGGATTCCAAGGAAATGACTCACAAATATTGGCAACAGGCTCTGAAAATTGGATCCAGTCTTTGCAGAAGCCCTTAGCAGAATGCTAACCCCTCTCATTGCAAAATAAACTTCTCCCATCCGTGCCACACAGCAGCTCTGATGTATGTGTGAAGGGTGGATGGTGGTGGCAGGGCCCTTTTGGTTTTTTTTTTTTTTGTTTTTGTTTTTTACTTTTTTCCCAATCCCCTGACATTGTGTTGGATGCAGCCTCCGGTATCTGTGCTCAGCCACCAAGCTGCCCTCCCAGGTGTGCAAAGGTAACCACACTGAGCCTCCTCACCTTGTAGTTCTTAATCAGGGACCCCAGGAACCAGGAAATCAGGCACTGAAGGATCAGACAGCTGAGCAGAGGCATCCTGGCAGCATTACCATCTGCAAACAGAATCGTCTACTTAGCATATTTATTTCTCAGCTGTTTAAGATTTTGAATCATAAACGCATTCTCTGCATCCCTTGTAATGCACATGTTCAAAGGCTCCAGTGCTCTCTCATGTTACTTTTGGGGTTTTGTTTGTTTGTTTTGTTTTTGGCAATGTAAATCTAGGTAGACAAGAGCAACTTGCGTCTCTCACACTTGCATCTTTCACATGGAATTCCTTTGCAGCTCAGTTCTGCTTAGACAATGCCTTCAGATTAAAGAAGATTAAAGATCATTACCTTTGCAAACTCCTATTTAATCACTCCAAACTGAGATGAAGCAAACGGGACTCTAGCATGGAGTCGGACTGTTTCAGACAGTACAGCAGCACAGCAGGATCGTGCAGGTTCCATACTTTTCCATGCATTCCCAAAATTACCATCGCCTTTCCTGCTTTGTGATATACACGTAGAAATATCGTCCCTGTAGTCTATGGGCCATCCATGGTGTTC